ACATTTAAAGTACCTTTTCATTTTTAAAATAATTTCTAATATCAGTATTCAGTGTTTTATGTTTAAAATATCAAAACATTATGCATTCGTAACTGCAGGTTAAATCACTCCATGTCCCTCTGAGCTAATTTAAATAGTGTGTAAATACATCTAAAATCCACTTCAGATGCAATTGTTGATACTGGTTTCATTTGTTTAACAGCCTAAATGTCTTTATTATTCTAATTGACTGAATAAATGTAACAGTTTGACTCAAACGATGCACACTTTTAGAAAATAAAGGCTTTATTAAAGGTAAAATTGCCCCGAAAAGGTAAAAATCAATTTAAACATATGAAAAGATTAATTTCTAACACTGATGTGAACTGACCAGTACATAGAATATCAAAAACTGCAGCTGTCCATGGTAGTCAGATATCAGCACAATAACACACACGGCAAAATATCGTCTAATTGTCTTTATCGAAAAAATCCCCAAAAATATAGAGATCTTTTTTTTTTTTTTTTCAATATCACACACCCCTACTATTCGCCTCAAATTACAGCAGTAAATAACACATTTCTATCAACAAATCGTAAACCTAATAGCGGATCAGGGCTGTTAAAAATTTATTTGTCTTTAAATCATTCATTCAAGAGATTCATTCAAAAAGACTGATTCATCCAGTAATGAAACAAGTAAATCATTGAGTCATTGAATCATTCCATGCATACATTCCATGAGATTTTGTTTAGTTGTCTAATATGTTTTCTTCAGAATTGTGAGAGAACTACAACCTCCATTTAAAAAGAAAAATTAAATAATAAAGTATCAATTTATCCAGAATCATGCAGCTCTTAATGGAGTCCATTTTTTTATTGTAGCTGGCTGATTTTTATTTATGGCATTCAGCAGCAATTAAATGTTTTGCAAAAAGAGGCACAAAATAAATGTTTGATATCTTTTTTTGAAACCACATTGGAATCGAAAATGGGAATCGATAAACGGAATCAGAATTGGAATTGATCAAATTCGAATGATACCTAATTCTGTGTGTGTGTGTGTGTGTGAGTGTGTGTGTGTGTGTGTGTGTGTGTGTGAGAGTGAGTGAGCAGCCAAACTCTCAGTAGCCTCTTGTCCCGTGTGGGATAATCTGTGCTGATCAGACACACGAAGGACTAAACACTGGCCACTTCCTGTAGCAGCACTGGTTCCTGGTAAGCGCTCGCTGTCGGCAATTCTGATTGGCTCAGCAGTATTGAAGACGACGCTCCTGTGATGCCCACTTTCTATCTTTGTCTGCTTTGGCTTGTTTCTGAGAGTGAGCCGGCTCGTGCTGTAGGTTGCACGGCCTGTGGGATGGGCTGCTTTGGATCGGTGCTGTCAATCGTGTTGTGAGATCTCCGCAGGGCTTCATGGCTTTTTGATTGTTCTGACACGTGGAGCGTTGCAGCGCAAACCTATCAACAGGTAACGAAGACAACTGAACAGAGGCCTGCTGATGAGATTACAGGCATGCGGCATCTCAGTTTGGGTTGTTTGTGTTATAATTTCTAGGTTATATTACAAGATTTTGTGCATCTTTTTCACTCCCAAAGAATGTAGAGATGGTTGTGAACTCTTTAAAAGCATATTTTTAGTTCATTTGTTGCATTGACATGCGATTTTCTTAACATAAGCACCCCATCTAATCTAATTCACATGGCTGTAATGTGAAAAAAATAAATGTTTTTAACCAGATTTAAAATCGTTACTGCAGTTCAGTAAAAATGACTCAAACACTGAGAATGAGAATTTAACGTCTAGTAAAACATCTGGATGCGTTACGATAATGAGAATTTGGGAAAATATGATTAATTGGCATTAAAACAGTCATAATTCTAAAATTACAATGGTCTTAAAAATACTTCATTTCCCACATATAATTAATATTCTGGAGATGTTTTTGTTCATTCATCATGATAAAGGGACTGTACAGCTTTTCTGAAAAAATAATCCACTCAGATTGCAGGACCTTCTGATCCTGAAGTATCTCGCTGTGTTGCTGTCATTCTTATCTCATTGTCAATATGATGAGCAGATTATAATGAGATGATGCAGCTGCACGTGCCGTCCTAATCTGACCCTTCATACACGCCACTGAGCTTTAAATACACACAGAGAGTGTATTTAAAGTTTTATTTTTTTGAAGCTTTGAAAATGATTGCTGAAGGCTTATTTCTAATGCTAGTTTCATTGAAGCATTGCATATTACTATACTCTTAACCACACTTATGTTACAAAACTTAAGCTTTTTGTAACACTTTTGTTACAAAACTTTTCAGATCTGCGCTGCTCTGTCATTTTCCGTTTACTTTCTTTTGCAAAAATGTACGTAGAACATTTTAACGAAATGGCTTTTAGAATATCCAAAATAAATGGATAAATGTAAAGAGAGACGACATTAGGGCCTTTCGCACCGCTTTAGTTCCAGAACTAAATGTACGGTACTAAAGTACTGGGACGATTTTGCGCAAACTATTTCCCAGTACCATTTAAAGGGTTGTTACATGGACTCTGGGCAACATCTGTGACAATCAATGCAGTGGTTGCCTCTATAATTTTAAATGGAAAGGGCACAGTCAAAGCCTTAGTTTGTTTATATGAAGAGATTTCTTATATTTGTGTAATTTATTTGATTTGAGGTTTGTTTTAAAATTTCAGTTTAGTTTTGTTATATTTTAATTTCATAAAGAAACGTGCAGCAATAGCCTAATAAAAGGACATCTTTTCATTTACTGTATAATCTCATTGTCACAGTACTCTGTGACTGGAAAGAGGTAGAAATAAAACCATCAATAGGTGGCGGCAAAATACTGTTTTAATGAGTGAGTCATTGAGTCATTCATTCAACCGATTCGTGCAAACGGCTGATTCATTCAGAAATGAAACACCACTGTGTTGCAGAACAACAGTTCTGCTGTGGCTTTGATTGGAACTATTTTCGTCAGCGAAGTTGAGCAAAAACAGTCAATATTGTGTCTGAAACGTAAGTCACTCAATTTAACTTCTTATTCATTACATAAAATCATATATATAACATATGTATAACTTTGTGTTGCTCATTTGTTTTGATTTCACTCTCTCACTCAGGCTGCTGGAGCCTCTGGCACGACATAAATACATTATCAGTCCCCGTTTACACTGCATGAAATAAAATCTGAATAATTTTTGCACGCAAACTTTTGGTGGCAAGTTTCAGTGCTTCCCTAATTATTTTTGTTATTGACGTTTTAATCAGTAAAATTCTCTCTCTCTTGCCCTACTAAATCCACTAAAGCATTAATTTAACCACGGGTTACTTTGGCCCGACACGTATTACAAATTGCGAACTTTGTGTCTTCGTCACTCACAGTGAAGAACTTCCATGCCGACAGCGTTTACATGTGAATGTGAGCGTAAGTGTGACATCAAAACAGATCGGCTCAGAATCAGTCACCGGTCTGGGCTGATCATGCGGAAAATCAGCTAATTCCGGTCCCTGGCCGGTCGATCGGTGCATCTCTAAGTTAATTTGTCTAGAAAAGTTGTCCCACCAATAAAAAGTTAACAGCTCGAATAACACATAGGCAGGGTTTTTCCTGCATAGAGAATTAAAAGGCCTCCGCCAAATTTTGTGCCACCTCTGGTTGTCAACAAAACTCAGACAGCAGTCACGTGCAAGCGTGCTGAACAATGTCCATTTGGCTTTTTAGTCCAAAAGTGCACATATTTGGAGAAATACTGATATCTTTATATGTTTACTTGATATTTCTTTACACAGAATCATAATTTCTATTCATTTTGATGAGTATTAGCTGCTTCCAGTGATGCCTGCCTGCCTTTTCTCTTCAGTGATCGCTGTTATGACTCAGATGAAGCTCATTCGCTGCTCATGTGTCAATCATATTACCCGATCATAACTCGCTCTGTCTCTTCCGATGACGAGCTTCCATATCTTTTAAGCATTCAGTTCCATACATAAACCCAGAGAAATGCTTCTACACACGAAACATGAAGCTAGTTAACACACGATTACGATAGTATATGTTTTGTATGTGATTTTCATGAGATTTGGGGTATTTTCATAACAATAAAGAATGTTTACATGAGAAATGCTAAGCTGGTGTAGCTATTAGCGGCGTATAAAAGGCTACAAATAATTTATTTAAAAACATTATATGACCAAAATCCATATTAGACCGCAATCTGAAGTTATTACAAACACTCAATGGTGGTTTGAAGTGAGATTTGAGTAAAAGTGAAGTATTAATATTATTGATAGTCTTATGTAGCTTGATGCTAATGTTAGCTCTAATACACCCGTTACCCTGCTGCGATTAATTTTCATGATGAATTCTATCAGAAAAAAATCACGTAATGTTGTACGAAAATGGTTTGTTTTCTAGAAAGACACTTTATAATAAGTGGATAAATGTATATTGGATCAAAGCAATGTGCATGGACCAGGAGACTATAAGGAGTGAATAAAGATTTTCAATTTCACAAAGTGTTTAACAATCTACTGTTATGTTTATGTTCACCTATACTGCAAATGGGCCCCTTTTAGCTGTTATGTTGTATTTAATTTAATGTTCAACAGGTTTGTTTTTGTACAATTTAACCTGATAATTGTAATTTTCTACAATCATCTAAATATTAGAACACCTAAAATATGTTGCGTGTATAAAGTGTTTGTTTCAGCCAGTTGAAGGGTGGGTACATTGTGTGCACATGATCAGGATGGGACCACCTCTGCCTCAGTTTGAGCCTGGAAAAACCCTGATAGGATTTTATTTTAATATAAGTACAGGCTTGACTTTGCTTTTAAACCTTTCTCCTCCCCTACAGACAGACAGTAGAGCTTCAGCGGTGTTGAATCTGGAGCCTTTCCCTCTTTATTTTATCCCAAATGCACCCCAGCCTATAGTTAACAGAAGTTGTCACTATTTTAGGAAATGCAACCATTTTTTAAGCCGTGTTATCTTCTAAAGCTGTGTAGATGCAGAAGAGCGGCATTCCATCATAGCCCTGTGTCCGAACACGTTTTCAACTACAGCATTGTGGAGGTCCGTGCAGGGAAAGGTGCCTGTCATGTTTGTTCTGCTCTCGAATCTGCTGCCAGCAAGCGTCTGAGTCTTTGAGTTCCCAATCAGAGCAAAGTTCACCCCAAAACAAACAGCTGTGGACGGCTGCGAGCGAGGTGAGCGTTGAAGCAGGACAGCGAGGATGATTCGAAGCGTTCTGAAACGAATGGCCTGTAAGTGATTTGTGTGTTTGTTCTGCTTTAACTCTTCGTAATCACATTCTGTTGCTCGAGGCGTTTTGAGTTAAAAAGACATGATGGAAATAACACTTATTTGTTGGGCAAGGTTGATTGGGTATTATAGTTGATTGGGTAGTATATTCACAATCACAACACTGGCTGTTTTGCAAACTCCGTTTATGTGGCTAGATATTAGGGGTGCTCCGATTGATCGACTACCGATCATTATCGGCCGATCATCACGTTGGGATGATTGATCGGCGGTCTCTAAAAAGGCCGATCTTAAAAAAAAAACGATCTCAAGCTGATGACGCTGCCGTGAGAGGTTTTGCTCGACATGCAGCGTCTCAGTCTCTGTCCGGTGCGGGTGAAATAATTATAATGATGAAGGTGAGGTACTCGCCTTCAAATTTCTTCATTAAATAATTTATAAAGTAATTTGAAAACCTTGTGTGAGACGTAATTTCACGAACTTTGTGAGTGAATCACCGCACGCTCTCTCTCTTTCTTTCTCAAAATACGCAAATGGCTTCAAATCACCGCATCGCGTCTGCACTATATGCGAGCTGCACAGTTGACACAGGAATTGTTACTTGCACAGTCGAGGCAGTGTCACATCGTCACTAAAGTTTATAAATTGCATTTCTTTTTAATTCTTGCCAGTGTTTAACCATTCAGCGCTCACACGCTCTCCTGGAGACTGTTTATGCACACTCGCAGCACACACACATAATGCCAGGTTCACATTACTCCGTTTGCAGTGCATACGTGGTGCGTATTTTTTCCGTGCTCATGTTAACGGATTAAAGCGTTCACTGCACACGGTTGCGGTCCGGCAGTGTGTTCCAGTAGCGGCGCGTCGGCAGCAGTGCCGAGATCGTTTCCACACTGAGTCTATTTCTGCACTTCAAGTGCTGAATTAAAGTAACACCGCATTGTTTGTAGTAAAAATGAACATGGATTGACACGAAAATGTAGTAATTACACCATAAATGCATATTATTAAAGTCTACTGTGTTTCACAGTCAACACATATGGCTTTTTGGCTAGGTTTAAAGGGAAAGAGCACTTTTAGATAAAGAAGGCAATAATAGATGGCACTCGTGGAGGTAGGAAAACAAAGTTCTTCATGAACCGCAGGATTGCTTGTAATAAAGATTTAAATGCAAAAGAAAAGGCAGTAGAGCTGACTATTTCTGTCAATGGTAAGTTTGTGATAATGTAAGAAAAGTAGTTTAAATGTTTTGCCACTTGCTTGAACAACTTAATATATAAATCTAGAAGTAAGTGCAAAAGTAAAAAGCATTGAATAATGTGTTGCTTATATTTATTGTGTTTAAACATGTCTGTTAAAGATGGTATTACTGTACTGTGTAAAAAAAGAATTGCAATGCTGAAATTTTCATTTCAGCATTTTCAGTGACTGTTTGGATTTGAAATCAAACTAATGGATAAATGTTGTGTTTGTGGCCTCAAAAATCCTGATCGGAGCACCCCTACTAGATATATTAAGCGAGTTGAATCCAAGCCATCGGTTAAGTGCGGTCTCACAGTACAGTGCTAACGCTCGCTGTCAGCTGGCTGGAAGAGTTAGCGATGTTTCTTCGACTGCGTTTCATGAGGAATGGATGTGTTTTGGCCGCTCCTCGAGAGTTGATGTAATCCCCCTTCAGTGTGCTGTTTATCCTGGATGAGTATTGATTTATCTTCTCTCCTCTCCGTCTTTAAACTGTGCCAGGTCACCATGTGTGTCTGATGAAAGCCAGCTCCAGCCCGTTCTGTCAGAGGTGCAGCGGGAACAAACCAAAGTACGACTTGTCACTCTAGCGTAGATATATGGGCAGTTGACATGACATGACAGTCTTCATGCCATTTTTCTTTTCTTTGGTGTATTCATCTGGATGGACTGTGTTTTTATTTATTTATTTACTTTTTTCATTTTATTATTTTAAACAACTTCAAGTAAAACTTGCATGAGTAAAATGTGTATTTTTTCATGTAGTGTGACTTTCTTCATGAACTGTCAAGTCACCTTTATTTATATAGCGCTTTTAACAATACAGATTGTGTCAAAGCAGCTTTACAGTATTAAATAGGAAAATAGTGTGTCAATAATGCAAAAGGACAATAGTAAACACTCAATTTTCAGTTAAGGGGAGACACTGCAGTCAAAAGCAGTTTTTTTCATGCACCTGTCAAATTTGAGATTTTGGGCTTTTTGGTTTTTCAGACTAGTGGTAAGAGAACATCCAAAAGACACTGTTAAGCGTTTCTTTTATAGCACTTTATCTATTTGTGTCAATAGATTTCAATTGCAGTGCATATTTTTAAAGGCCATTTTCTCAAAATGAGTTTTTTCTCCAACACTGAGCCTTAAATCTCCACTTCAGTAGCACTTACACACACCAAACTTTACATTTTTATTCCTGTCTATATCCTGAAGGTTTTTACTGAGGGATTTGTTCATGTATAATTTGCTTGATTATATACAACATTTTATTCCCCCCAAAAATTGTGAAAATATAGTGTATATATAATATAATATATATATATAATATAATATATTTTCTGTCCGTTCTAAGCAATTTCTGAATTATGGATTGACAAAAATGAGATACCCCAAATATTCCCTCTGTAAAAACTTTTGACTCTAATATGTCAAAAAAATTAAACAAGAATTTTGAAACTGACATAATTCAGTGTTTAGATTTTTGTACTAGAAATGTATGAAAATTAGCGCATATTTCATTAAATAATGACTCATTTGCATATTTAAACATAACATTTTAGAAAACTTATTTCATTGCATTGAATAAACAATTTAATGCGGTTCGTTGTTTTGCTCATTACGCCCTCCGGAGACAGGGCAAACATTTCTTTAACACTAATTTGCATATAAAATATAAGAAAGGAGATATTTGTATTTTATTGTGTTTGACTGATCGAACTAAAATAATTTGTTGTTTGTCTTAATAAACTGGGTAAATTAAAAATACAGTGGTTCAATTTAAACCTTTTTTTTTCTTCTGCTCTTTGATTAAAAAACGTTTTTCAATAATTACCAATACAGACTGATATGAAACATTAGGGTAAATGTACCTATTAAGCTCACCAAAATCTACATTGAGACATTTTTAGAGCACAAGATATTGGTTTCAGTACAAAAAGTTATGTTAAAATAAAATATTAATCTCTCACACACAAATATTTAAATTTATTTTAAATGACAAAAGCATTTCAATTAAGATGTACATCATTAAATGCAAAAAGTCTGGCTGTGCTTAATGGGTACATTTTGTACCCTTTAAGCACACCCCTGTTCCCATTAAGCTCACATCATGTTTTATTAAAAAAATCTTGTTTATTTTAAACAACCTTTTTAAAGAATAATTGAAAAATATTTTTTGAAGGTACAAACTCAATCACAAAAAAACAGAACACTAAAATCAAGCAACAAGGCATTCGATTTGATCAGTTATATATTCATAGTGAAATGTCATTTAAGCACATTGCAGCATCTAGACTAGTCCACGTTCAGCTAAGTAACACACATTCAAAAATTAAATAAAACATTTCATTCATGGGGATGAACACAAAAACTAGCCTCAATTTGAAGCCTCTTATTAAATGGATGTCAACTTATCTATATTCTCTTAAGGCTGGAATACACTGCACGATTTTTGCCCTGATTTCCCACCGATTAACAGTCTGGAGAAGTTGATGCTAGTTGCCAAAGGTCAGAGCCAGTCTGCAGATTTGAGTCGACTGATTCCATAGAAAATTGATTAACTTTACTTTAAAGTGACAACCATCAGTTAACATTTAAAGTCTGTTTATGAAGTATTTACATAGACGTTCAATGCAGAAGAGCTTAAAGAGAGCACACTGAGTTTTATTGGAGCAGCAACAATATTTAATAAATTTCATGTACTATAGGGATGTAACGGTATGAAAATGTCTTATCACGGTTATCAGTATTATCACGGTTTTGTTAAAATGTGCTGGAGATGTTAAAAAAGTACCGACACATAAATCACTTCACCAAGTTTTATATTTAAAAATCAACAAAAAACGAATAAAATGACTTTTTGTTTGCGTAATCACTAAAACAACATTACCAATGATGTTCAGATTTTAAATGACAACTTGACAGACAGCATGTTGAAATATCTAACGTATATGTTCAAATAAAGCTTTGAAAAAGTTTCATAAGGTAAACCTCACATTTCAGCCTTTAAATAGAGAAAAGATATGTCAAAATAATAATTGATTAATAAATGATTATATGCATTTTATCTGCTCCATAAATAATTTTAGATAGCTTATCTGAATTGTTTAAATGTGTAGAATCCACATAAGCTTGTTTTTCATCAACCGGTCAAAATTCACAGCAGGGCGTGTAAATCCGGTCCGTTTTTGGCCAGACAGAAACTGCAGACAGACTGAATGTGAATGTGAGTCTCTGTAAATCCACTCTCTGACAGCAGGTGGCGCTGATGGAAAAGCTGTTTCCCGTAAACTCTGTGAACAAAGCAGCACTGCGATTAAAAACTCTACTTTATTAGGTATTACATGGAGCGAAGATGAAAACAAAATGCCATCGAATCTTTTCTGAAGACAGTCAGAACCTTCAGAGGTACATTCATATAATCAATTAATTCATATATTCATTTGTATAATTACCTTAGCACTCTTATAAAACCTCCCAGCTTTTCCGCCCTGTTTTCACTCAAAACTAAGCTACTCTGCGTGCTGTGCGCACGTGAGACTGTTACTTAAAACTGCTTTATGCTGGACAGTATTTATTTATCCTCAGCTGTTCAAATCGCGGTAATCTAATACGGTTTTAATGATCATTAAAAGATGAAATGGTAATACTAACTGTCGGGAATTTTATCATGATTTATCGTCAAACCGGTAATCGTTACATCTAGGGATGTTCATTTTGGTTATTTTTCCTAACCGACATCCAACGCTCGTTAACCGATTGTTAA